AGAGTTTTTGGTATTCATCTAGCGTCTTCGCGCGGATGCTTGGCCTATCTGGAATCCAGCATCAGTATCTCTTGTGCAGCAGAGGCAGATAGAACTACACCCAGGGACGCCAGAGCCTTATCGGTGCTGATTGTCACTCCTAGGGTCTCTTTATTAGTCTTATTGAGACCTCCAACCCTAGACATCAGCTTCGTTTGTCCCACAGTTAGACAAGTTGACACTGTTCGATTGGCGACTCGGGTCAACGTATCGTGGTTGTAAGTAGTGACGCTGATGTGACAGTTCTTCAAGGACAACCATCTCCATTATAACGATCACTGATGCTGTTAAACAATGCCCGGAGCAGTAATACAGGTTCCCCGAAGAATCAGTACATATGACTGAGTGAGTGAGTGAGTTGGGTTTAACGCCGCTTTTAACAGTATTCCAGTCATATCATGGCGTGTCAGCTTAATGTGGGAGGAAAGCCCGAAGTGATGCAGGTCTCAGACGTTTACCACTTCGGTGAAACCCACGAGCACAGATATGGTGCTGACAAACCTAGAAACATAATCGGGGCGAACCGGGATTCGAACCCACAATCATAGGATTCTGGCGTGCCCAAGGGACGCAACTCTGCACAGCGAATCGCGGCGCCTTAGACGACTGGGCCACCCGTGCCCCCTCAGTACATATTACGTTGCTAGATATATAGACATTTGTTATAATAGACCACTGTCTATTTTTTGGGTATCAGTATATATCTGACATTAGTATATGACCTTGGCGACCACCCTTTTGAGCCACTTATAGGGACCTGGGTTTGAACAGGTCTAAACAATTCTACTGCTTGTCGTAAGAGGCGACTAAACTAGCACCATGCTCGCCGTAAAAGGCAACTATACTTGCCGGAAGAGGCGACTTGGTGATCGGGTGGTCAACCTCGCAGACTTGGTTGGTGTATGTCATCGCATCCCGTTTGCGTAGATCGATGCTCATGATATCAATCACCGGATTATCTAGCCCAGATTCGATTATTTACTGTCCGCCGTCATAGAGCTGGCATATTGCTGAGTGTGGCGTTAAACAACAAACAAACTAAACTAAACTGGAACGGTTGTCAGACTCGGTGATTTGATTGCCTTTCATCATAGCCCGTATGCCATGGATTCACTCAGCTTCGGGGACCTGACAAAAACGTTTATTAAGAGTCACAGGGCTTCTTTACTTTGTTTGATTGTTGTTTAACGTCGCACTCACTAACAATCCAGGGCGTTATATGGCGGCGGCTTGTAATTAAAAATCTCTTCCATATAAACCAGTGATTGATATTATGAACACCATATCGTCGGGGTACGATGACACGCAATAAACGAAGTCACTAAACCTGACTACGCCATCCATTTAGATGTCTCTTACGACCAGCATAGGTTACAGAGGACCTACTCTATACCTTAGACTGTGGCGTAAAACAACACTCACTTAAACATTCGCGTCGCGGACACGATCGATAGAACGTTTGTTTTGATCAGTAGATGCAGAGGAATAGTTATAAAGGGGACAAGTCAGCATATAAAATCAGCGTAATGTCTTCCCATGCGTATTTGTCATCTGACATCTCGAACCGTAAAGATCCGGGGTAGAATAGGTCTTCAGCAACCCATGCTTGCCGTAAAAGGCGACTATGCTTGCCGTAAAAGGCGACTATGCTTGCCGTAAAAGGCGACTATGCTTGTCATAAAAGGCGACTAAGGGGATCGGGTGGTCAGGCTTGATGCATGTCATTTGATCCCAGTTGCGTGCCATAAAAAGGCAACTATGCTTGTCGTAAGAGGCGACTAACGGGATCGGGTGGTCAGGCTCGCTGACTTGGTTGATGCATGTCATCTTGTCCAAATTGCGTGGATCGATGCTCATGATGTCAGTTACTGGATTGTCTGGTCTAGACTCGATTATTTACAGACCGCCGTCATATATCTGGAATATTGTTAAGAGCGGCGTTAAACAACAAACAAGCAAAAAACACAGATCTGATTTCATATGGTCTTTGTATGTACATGTGTTTGTTTAAGTTTGGGGATCAATTATCTCGCTGGCGTTCGTTTCTTCAGAGACGGTTCCTCATTATATAGACTTGCAGTCGCATAGCAACCATCAACCTGAACACAAACAAAAGGCCGCCATTCCGAATATTGTCCAAATAATCGTCAAATCATTCGTAAGAGAACTTATGCATGCATTCTGAAACAATTCGACGGCACTTTGTAATGTTCTAATGTCTGTATACTTTGGACAGAATCCCTGAGAGGGAATATTGTTGTGCACTTTTTGTCATTTCGCAATGTGGGAAATCGAACCGGATTTTTCGGTGTTGCGAGCAAACGAACTACTTGACTACCAAACCGGACAGCTAGGCGTTTCCTTAAGCACTGAGGCTGTGATTGTCTGAAATAGACTTACTGTTGTCGTAATCCTAGGATCGCTTGGTGGAACTTGGCCCCGTTCCTCAAAACGATTAAAAAAATTCAAGCTCACAGTTCTAATAAAAAAGTATCAGGTTTTCCATCTGAAAAAATATCTCATCTGCAGACAACCCATCCCCATCCCCACTCATTCCACACCCAGGTATTTATATTACCAATAAGTAACAAGTAAGAATCATTTTCCTTTGGTTTTTAGTTTATGTTGATTATTTCTCCATCGAAGTAGACAAATGACACCTAACGCCACGTCTCCACCACGTCAGATGCATGTCCAAACAAGACAAGCGTGTAATGCTGGGTTGTCAATCGATGATGGCCCCTCAATTTGTAGCCTCATCGATTGCCTAACTTGAAGAGGGAATTTCATGCACAAACTAGCTAAATCACACATCTAAAAGTCCCTATAAACTACGTGTCGTTCTTTATGTTTGTTAATTATACGTAATCAGAAACGCGTCTGATGAAATTGCATTTTGATCATGTTTTATAACCCAAAAGCGGGAGCCAGCCAGTCCGGCGCCGTGAAGGGATTTGAAAAACTTTATTAAGTAATCATTATTCTTCACTCACAGAGTTTTTTTCAATTCTCATCGTAACTGAGTAATTGTTCCTCCTTTAAAAGCATTAATTTGATACACATGTGAAAATAGTTCAAGAATGCCCAGCTATATTCTGTCAGCGCAATGATATATACTCCGCCAAAAGGACACAACATAAAAATGTTTAAACATTGCACGAGATTCAGTCTTAAACAAAATAGGTTGTACACGACACACTCTTAATTATGTCTATATTGATTCTTTTATGGTTCAATATTTATTTCTCAATGGCCGATACATACACTGGCTTTGCGACGTTTATAAATTCGATATGTCTGCGTTTGAACTTCGAACTACTACGTGACAGTGACGGGTGGATGACGTCAGCCAGTGTGCTGCATGTCGGGCCGGGAGTCCAGACCTTCTGTGTGTCCGAAACAAGGGCCTTTATTAATCAACTGTCCTAATACGTCTGTATTGGTCCGCACCACACAGCTGGACTAGAAGGTAAAACGTGTTTGAGGTGAGGTGTAATTGGGTGTAACGTCGCCTTCAGGATTATTGTACTTATATAGCGATGTGTGAGCGTTTGTCCGTTCGTGATGATGTCGATTTTATAGCGCTAGCCCATTTAGATTCCATGCTGTAGTTTAATAAGGATACCCCACTCAGTACACTGACTCCGAGCCGACCAGTCCTTGTTTTATCCCCGAGCGCCAGGCAGGGTAACAACAAGTATCATCCTTTAACGTCTTTTGGTATGACGCGGCAAGGGGATCGAACCACCGCCCTCCGCTCTCCGATCAGACGCTCTATCCGCTACACTATGGAGGCGGTCAAAAATGTGTTTGATGACGACCAATACCGCATTTATACAATTATATACACGACATGCGTATTAACAACAGTGACTATATAGGGCCTTTGTTGCAGGCGTCGCATGGCGTCTAGTTTGGTTTCAACTCGGCCTCAAACTATTTCAGTGTTATCACGGAATATCAGGTCACTGTATGTATTATTCCAATATTACGTTATTGAGCTGAAATCTGAGGAACGTCACGCAACAAGTTAATAGAAAGTATACAGATTATATTCTGCACATTGTTTGTCTGTTTGTTGTTTAACGCCGCACTCAGCAATATTCAAACTTTATGACGGCGGTCTGGAAATAATCGAGTCTTGACCAGACAATCCAGTGATTGACATCATGAGCATCGATCCACGCAATTTGGACAAGATGACATGCATCAACCAAGTCAGCATGCCTGACCACCCGATCCCGTTGGTCGCCTCTTACGACAAGCATAATCGCCTTTTTATGGCAAGCATGGGTTACTGAAGACCTATTCTACCCCGGATCTTCACAGGTCGACTTAATAAGAATACTACTACCCCCCTCCCCCCCCCCCCCCCCCCCCCCCCCCCCCCCCCCATTAATATTCCTCATAATGACGTGCTGTGAATGACGTGTGTGTACGAGGAATACCATGTGGTGATGAAGCTATGTGAACATTTCTCTCATCTAAGAAAGGAGTAATATGCATCCACATTACACAAACAATATTTAATAACTTAAAAGTTTATCCATCTCATGAAATCAACTGATTTCTATGCATATTACTGGGCTATATTTTGCAAAGTCTTGGCAATGAGAAACGAGAAAATGCTGGTTTAAAGTAGCTAGCTTTGTAAGCAGGATATTACCTTTTAAACATTATTTTATCCTGGGACAATGATCATTATAACTGTTTCCATTTGTCTGCTGTATGATGAAACCAATCCTGCCAGGCGTTTACCACTTTATTTAATGAAACCCACGAAAATGGGACCAAGAAACATAACTGCTGAAATTTGACACCGGAAACCGGGAGCTAAGGGACGCAACTCTATATGCAAAGTACGGTGCTGTGGACCACTAAGCAACCCGCGACCCTTTCCTTGGTGGATTTGAAACGTGCAATACTTAATAGATAATACATTTTTCATTTCTTCATTTCAGTTTTAACGCAGAATTCTAACGTGACAGTCGGCGAGGACGTGACAATCAAGTGTGAAGCAGAAACTACGTTCGAACAGCTGCGTACGGTGTGGCATAAGGATGGCAAGATGCTGGATGATATCCCTGGGGTGAAGGACAGGGTGACGTACGGGGACAAGAACTTCACGCTCACCCTAGGGAAGACTGGTGAGTATACCAGACCCCGTAACAGGGAATGTGTTTGGGGGTCATATCAAGAAATCATTACGACTGACTCATAAGTGAAAACGTTCACGATGACAAACCTGACGCATCTTTCCGAGGCAAGGGCGTTAACTGACTACAAAATTCCAGCTTGCCAAACTAGGCTGGAATTCCGGAGTAACACTTTGGCTGGTCTAACGAGTCTATGCATAACCCAATCAAAATCGCGCAACCTACTAGACATCCGGTTCGTAAACAACGTGGATTTCAACGCGCAGATTTCGGTCGACTGCAGGATTTGCAAAGCATGTGTACCGCCAACTGGGCAACGACAGATTTTTTGCAAATCTTTCAATGTTACTAACCAAGGTGCTCAAGTGATTTGATGTACTTCGCAGGTTAAACACGTTTTATTACAATATAGATCTTGATTAGCGATCATACTGTTAAAAGCGGCGTTAAATACAACCCACTCACTCACTTGATTAGCGATCACATCGTCTTCACTGGCCGCCGCCATTTTGCAGCAAATGCAAGTGATATGAGAGATGGAATCTGATTGGCCAATAGGAGGGATATAGAAGGGACATAACTCGTAAAAGCCAGGATCGAGCCTGGAAATTCAAGCCGTGTTCGGCAAGGGTTGAAACTGGACTTTTATAGTCAATTAACGCCCCCTTGTTTTGGGAAGATGAACCTAACGGTGAAGTGTGCAAATGAGTGGGTTAAGTTTAATGCCGCTTTCAGCAGAATCTAAGTTTTGTGTCCGCTTAACGCGCGGGCCGTAGTTATTTACCAGTTTAGTGAACTCCGTGAGCACGGGTGTGGTGCTGTCATAATCATAATCGAACTCACGACCAGCGAATCTTGACACGTCTGAGGGTCGCAACTCCACCCAGCGCTGTAGATTTCCAGAGTGTTTGGTGAATTTTGCATCCTGTTTATCGCAACTACTATTTTCTATGTCTGTATCCTGGCGTCAGAATGATATGGCAAGAATCAAATATTGATGCGTGGATCAGTCTTGCTGAATATCACCTTTATCTGATGGCTTTTCACAGTTGGCATCGTACTGGGACTATGGAGGACGGACCTTTCCTTCACTCGCAGTGAGGGGGGATTCCGGGATCGGCCCACATCATCCTGTGATGGAGGACGCGAATATCATAGATCGGTTGGTCACATTCGGTGACTTAGTAGGTTTCGTTCCAACGTACCCCGACCTTGCTCAATAGACAGTCTGCTGCAGACTCGATTATTAACAGTCCCCCGCGATACTGCTGAAATATTATCTTCGACATTCACTCTTCAATTCGTTATGATCCCATCAGGAAAACACAGGGTGTTGTCTCACGTTGATATATGTGAAAGTATTTGTCTTTTCTTGTTTGTTTGATTGTTTGTTTGTTGTTTAACGTCTTACTCAGCAATATTCCAACGATATCACGGCGGTCCGTAAATAATCGAGTCTGGACCAGACAATCCAGTAATTGACAATATGAGCATCCATCCACGCAATTGGGATACGATGACATGCATCAACCATGTCAGCGAGCCCGACCATCCGATCCCGTTAGTCGCCTCTTACGACAAGCGTAGTCGCCTTTTACAGCAAGCATGGGTTTCTGAAGACCTATTCTAATTTCATTTGTTTATTTTTTTTTGTGACAGGTTAATATGAGGTCTTGATGTTGCCGTGCCATGGCATAACGTGGACAATAAGACCTGTATTTGTTGAGTGATGCGTTTGGTTATACACGGCAGATAATGTTTGGCCGACATGTTATATGTTTTAACTACAAAGAAAACATAAATATTTCATCTGGCAAACTAAAAAAAACAAAAACGAAAACACATTTCCCGCAAGTCTGTCTAATCTAAACTCGTAACGCTGCAATCGTTTTGTGCACATTTTGGACCCAGGCGATATTGAACGCCTTGAGATTACATTTCATTGTCTGTCTACCAAGAACGCGAGATTGTTTTTCACCCTGTTGAGGCCAGAGACGGTGGTTTTTTCGAAACAATTAGATACTAAACCCCAAAAGAGTGAAAAGTAAGTGGATTTAAAGTTTTCCGAGGAAGTGTTAAGACAGTTCACTTCAGACGTAAAACGTTGATGCAAACCTATTTGTCAATCGTCGCCTCTTGTGTATGTAACCCACATGAAAAACCAATGCTTCAGACAAATGGGCCGTGAATCTTCAGGCAACAGATAATCGTACACAGTGTTTGACACTAAAGCTGGTCGTTGGCCTCAGTAAAATAAATTTATCAATGACCAGTGAAAGAAGTTTAATTTGTAGCCAGGAACTCTGGTGTTTTTCTCGGGACGTGGTTGATTCAGACAAAGCTTGAACCAATGCTTTAACAGCCTGACGCCTACATTGCCCCAATGATCAACTTCCAGGAGTGAGTGAGTGAGTTGGTTTAACGCCGCTTTTAACAGTATTCCAGTTATATCACGGCGTGTCAGCTTAATGTGGGAGGAAAGCCCGAAGTGATGCAGGTCTCAGACGTTTACCACTTCGGTGAAACCAACGAGCACGGGTATGGTGCTGACAAACCTAGAAACATAATCGGGGCGAACCGGGATTCGAACCCACAATCAAAGGTTTCTGGCGTGCCCAAGGGACGCAACTCTGCACAGCGAATCGCGGCGCCTTAGACGACTGGGCCACCCGTGCCCCCTCAACTTCCAGGAAGAAAGTTTGGTTTGGTTTGTTGTTTTACGCTTCACTCAGCAATATTCCAGGACGACCTGTAAATAATCGAGCCTGGACCAGACAATCCAGATATTGACATCATGAGCATCGATATTCGCAATTGGGATACGATGACATACATCAACTAATTCAGCGATACTGACCACCTTATCCCGTTAGTCGCCTCTACCGACACGCATATTCGAGTCTTGCGACAATCATGGGAAGATTAATTCTAATCGAGGAAGCAAGCAGTTGGCCTGTATTTACAAACTTGACAGAGCGTATTGGTTGGTCAGCAACATAATACAGAAAAAGATGATAAATATTTATATAGACCTTGACTATATGTATTTCTGATACATTTGACGTGATAAACTAAACAGAGCAAGCTATAAGGTAGACTAACATTTTGTCTCTGAAATCTTATATTACACAATATCCTTCTTGACTCTAAAAAAAATAAAAATTCCCTATGCTGATTGTGGAATAGAGCTAGCTTGAGCTGGCTAGACTTGCTTTTGTATGCATTTCTAGATTATGTTTTTTTTCATAAAATAAATATATTCCACGGTCATGGTGGAATAGAGCTAGCTTAAGCTGGCTAGACTTGCTTTTGTATGCATTTCTAGATCATGTTTTTTTCATAAAATAAATATATTCCACGGTCATGGTGCAGGACTAGCTATAAGGAAACAAGAAGGTTTAGGGTTTTCCAGAGATCACTGGCTTTGACATTTATTTCAAATGCATCATTCCATACCATTCACTCCACACCGCATGAATCACAGACCCTGTACTAGATCTGTCAACATAGCTCTATGGTAATCGTCGCTGAAGTCGGTTCATTGTACGGTTTACACATCATCTTCACACATCCTACGATGACGTAACCCACTGCCCGGATGTTGACTCTAACGCTGTTTGACTCAGCACGTGCAGCAGATCGTGAAACGCGTGAAATTCGTGTCCACGAGGGGTGTGAGTCACAGGGCCCCTCCCTCGAGGTTGGAAATACTCAAATAATACATTAGATATTCTGTGATAATTTAATGACAGTGTCAAACTTTTCGTCCCAAGGGGCTACGTGGACAATTAATTTACAGGTTAAAATCAATATACAAACATGTGTGTCTTTACAGCATGCCACTTCAGATTTTCACCACTGGTACATTCCAGTGGTATGCAGTAAACCCATACCAGTCTGCTTGGCTCCGGTTGTCTCCCTCTTGGCTGGATTAATATTTATGAATGTGTTTGGAAAAAGGAGGTGCGATTTTGTTACGTCTAAATATTTTCCTTAGCCAAGACGTGTAGTACACACTGCTGTTTTCTGACTGTGAAAACCTTACAAAACAGGTTTTGTGTTGAGCTTTGTAGCGTGACATCTTAACTTTACGTTATAACTTGCAAGAAATTATGGTAAAACCTTACTCCAAAAGTAGGCGTATGGTGTTAACTGGTGAGGCATCCGGGCGCGGTCAACATCCAGTTAGAATCGGTCTAAAGAGGCGACTAACGGTATCGTGTGGTCAGGCTCGCTGACTTGGTTGATGCATGTCATCTTATCTCAATTGCGCAGATCGATGCTCATGATGCCATCACTGGATTGTCCGGTCCAGGCCCGATTATTTAAAATTATCGATATATTTATTAATTGTTCATTTTAGTTCTATTTATTTGTTAAAAGTTTACGGCAATGAGAGGAGACAGTTCTCCGAGTGGGTCCATTTCTATTTTTTGAGAAACAATTGTCTAAAAGATGTCATACTAGGTCTACTGGTTCACAAACGTCTCGATATATTGTTAGTGTTTGAGTTATATTTTTATTTAAACCCCAAAATGGACGACATTTGCTTGAAAGTTTACCGCAATAATATGATTGCGGCTTGACCTGCTTTCAGCCTGAATTGGCTACTGCGCTTATTTACCGTAGAAAGACATTGTTTATCAAATTCAGTATGAGAGGTTGGTAATCGCATAGTAGTCAAAAGTATGGTTTAAGATATGAGAATGGAAATTTATTGAAACCAATATTGTTCAGATTGTTTTAAACATGCCTGTGTTGATGAAATAGTCTGGGGGAACTATTTTTTTGTAAATATAATTTGACGAACAAAGAGTCTGCCGCCATGTTGATGCACCGCATCAGAAGTTTTCTTGTCAGTGAATGAAATAATTCTTCTTTAAACCAACAGCCGTGTTTGATCCCGGCTAGTTTAGAGATTACAGGCACAGTGCGTCCATCGCAAGTCAAATAAACATGATACGATTGAATGAATAACGCTATGATTATCTTACATCTCAGGGTAGGATTATCTGTGGCAGTGAAGGGCATTACGAACGTCGCAGCATTCCCTGATTTATCCGTCAACGTTTTGACCAAGAGCCATGTAGGCGGCAAGCGAGCAAATTTTCATATGGATAAAACATCATCGTCCCCTTGAGACATTCAGCTGTGAAGAAAAGAGTGATCGATTTTGCGCCAGGGTACTACACATGGTTCATCTCGCCAGCATCTTAGACGAGTGTACGCCAATCCGACACGCAGCATCCGCAGCCATATTTGTTAGATATTATATGTCCGCTGACCGACAATCGCTACTGGCTCTATTCGGGGGTTATTTGCAGGTCACGGCAACGTTAGACTGGCCGAGGCACGACTCAGAAGCTGCTGGATGCAATTACAAAATTGCCAGTCGTAATCAATGAGCTCTTTCAATGATTGCTGGCCGGTGGCAAGACCTCGAGGTCGCCACTCAGTAGGTGGGAAAGATTGATGTTTCTTACATAGATAGTCTCTCTAAGACAGACCCCGAAACAAATATATCCAATACAGCCAATGCAAGTCTAGGAGAGTTGGCAAGTCTAGATTACTGCAGTTTCAGGAAATGAAGAGGGTTTCTAAGATAATTGAACAACATTTTTCTGTGAAATATTTTCATTCCAGAGACTAGATGTTTATCTATTACGAAGACACAACTATGGTGTTTTAGGGAATTTCCAACCTGTTAAAGTACTTCGTGGTTGGCATTGGGCGGCACGGGTGTTCCAGTCGTCTGAGGCGCTGCAATTCGCTGTGCAGAGTTGCGTCCCTTGGATACACTAGAAACCTATGATCGTAGGTTCGAATCCCGGCTCGCCTCGATAATCATTTCTAAGTTTGTCAGCACCAGACACGTTCTCGTGGGCTTGACCAAAGTGGTAAACGTCTGAGACCTGAGTGACTTTGTGCATTGTTGCAATAGACAAACAACGCCGTTTGAAGACGCACGAGGCTACCTATAGCAGAAAGTAGGTGAAAGTCAATTAATCTAATAGTAATACCCCCTGCCTTGGCTCGTCTTCCGCCCGGCTCTGTCCTGTTACAAAAGGTGTTTCTCGCAGTCCATTAGACAGGTCTGTTTTGTTTGTATGTAGTTCGACAAGCACGCACGCAAGGACCAGTGAAGATCCGGGTTAGAATAGGCCTTCAGCAACCCATGTTTGCCGTAAGAGCGACTTTGCTTGTCGTAAGGGGCGACTAACGGGATTGGGTGGGTCAGACTCGCTGACTTGGTTGATGTCATCGTATCCCAGTTGCGTAGATCGATGTTCATTATGTCAGTCACTGTAGTGTTTGGTCTAGACTCGATTATTTACAGACCACCTTCATATAGCTGTGGTATTGCGGAGTGTGACGTTACACAACAAACAAGGAAGGTCGACAGTGGGTGAAGAAATCAGGAATGTTCTCTGACATCACGTTACTGACATGTCGACAGTTGTATTACAAAACAAGATTCTTATAGATAAGGGCATTTTCTATGAGTTACTGGTGACAGCATGCATTTACTTTATTTAATTGTCACGGATACGCGCGTGTGTGCGTGTGTCTGCACATGTATGTTTAGTGGGACAATGGTACATGTTTGTAATCCTCATGTACAGGTGGGGGCACGGGTGGCCCAGTCGTCTAAGGCGCCGCGATTTGCTGTGCAGAGTTGTGTCCCTTGGGCACGCCAGAAACCTATGATTGTGGTATCGAATCCCGGTTCGCCCCGAGTATGTTTCTAGGTTTGTCAGCACCATACCCGTGCTCCTGGGTTTCACCGAAGTGGTAACGTCTGAGACCTGCATCACTTCGGGCTTTCCTCCCACATTAAGCTGACACGCCGTGATATAACTGGAATACTGTTAAAAGCGGCGTAAAACCCAACTCACTCACTCACTCATGTACAGGAGGTTCACAACCGCCTGATTTGAACCAGTCAGAGTTGCGGCCCTTGGAACTGCTGATCTTTGCCCTCGTTATGGCCCTTGGTTTGTCGGGCTGTGTCAGTGCCCCCGGTTTCAACGGATTGGTAAACGTCGACCTGCGTCACTTTGAGTGTTTCCCTCATTGAGTGAGTTAGTTGGGTTTAGCGCCGCTTTTAATAGTATTCCAGTTATATCGCGGCGTGTCAGCTTAATGTGTGAGGAAAGCCCGAAGTGATGCAGGTCTCAGACGTTTACCACTTCTGTGAAACCCAGGAGCACAGGTATGGTGCTGACAAACCTAGAAACATAATCGGGGCGAACCGGGATTCGAACCCACAATCATAGGTTTCTGGCGTGCTCAAGGGACGCAACTCTGCACAGCGAATCGCGGCGCCTTAGACGACTGGGCCACCCGTGCCCCCTTTCCCTCGTTGAGGTCACATGACTTGATATGAATGAAAACAACCCCCCTATACACACTGAGGTGGTGTTATCTCAATACGGGACGTGTTTCCAAAGCGAGTCGTGGAAGGCCGGGTGATCTAATTCCCTGTGCAGAGTTGCGTCCCTTAGCCGTGATCAGAAATCATCTAATACGACCATTGGTCTGTCAACACCATGCCAGGCCCCGTTGGTTCACAATGAGTATTGTCATGGTATGGTATGGCTCTACTGATTCATTTAATGATGTATGACAATTCATTAATCACAAAAATCAAACAATGAATATTGTATTAAAGACATGCAGAAGAAATGAGTAGAGCCTCATTTCACGAGGGAACGCTATCTCAACAACCATTGCTAATTCTATCCACCAATGGATTGTGGGGTCCACACATTAGTTCCAGGGCACTTGATACCGCTGACAAATGCAATGTTTTCATGTATTGATTAACTCTATATGTCCACTATCGTGGGTAATCCAGGCAAGAATAGGTACCCAATACGGTGTGACGGTGTGGATCGTGCTAACAACTGCTGCTCTTCTAGCCCTTCCATCATCGGGGCAAGATTCGATGTGCAGAGTGCGTCCATTGGGTCACTAGAAACCTAACATCGTGGGTTCGATTCCCGCTTCGCCCCGATTATGTTCCTAGGTTTGTCAGTACCATACCGGTGTTCATGGGTTTCATCAAAGTGGTAAAAGGCTGACACGCCGTGATATAAATAAAATACTGTTAAAAGCGGCGTTTAACCCAACTCACTCACTTACTCACTGCTTCTATCATTCACACGACGTCATGATGTAGGTGAAATATGGCTGCCTGTGACGTAAATAACATTCACTGACTTATTCATCGATTGATTTGTATATATTCGGAAGAGGTGAAAATTGCAAAAAGTGCGTGAGTATGTCTTTTTACGCCGCTTTTAGCAATACTCCAGCATTATCACGACAGGGGACACCAGAAATGGGTTTTAGACATTGTACCCGTGTCGGGAATCGAACCCAGGTCTTCGGCGTGACGAGCGAACGCTTTATCCACAAGGCTACCCGACCGCCCCCTGTTGGGAGAAATCACGTTTAATTTTGAAAGGGGATACTTTCAGACGTCCCATGTAAGTCAGAGAACGATATGTGCTGAAATTGGTTCAATTAGGTTTACATATACAATGGCTCCTCACACCGCCTTGGGTGTGCCATGCTTGGCTCTATTCGTTTCCTCATGGCGTGTGTTTTGCTCCTTACAGTGGAAGACGATGCTGGGGAGTATACGGCCAGGGTCATCTTCTTCCCCGAAAGCTACCTGATACAGGCCTTCAATGTCGTGGTAAAAATGTCAGGTGAGTAGTCATTTTATTATCATAAAGGTTCCTCATCAATTATTGGGTAACGGGGTTGTGGCGCAACAGAACTCTTCACCAGAACACTGGAAGAATACATGTTACAGTATGTACGACCTACACGACAGAACGTCAGTCTTGCAGACCCCAGAGAATAAAGAAAGATATGAACCCAACTCAAGTCTAGATTGCCTCATCTGACATTAAGCAATGTTCTTGGCTCCATTTGGATTTTGTAGATACATTTTTTAAAATATTATAACTATATTTCTGGGACTAAATGTTTAAGACTTTGAACTTTAGTGACTGTAGCCTCTTTATTATGCTCAAGTCTCGGGTCTTTTTTCAAATTACTTATTCGGGGACCGGAAGTCCCTTAAGATCATACAACTGCCCCTTGATTGCTGGTTGAATAAAAAATTAAGTTGTGGCTAGCCACAAAGTGCTTATTCCTTTCCTGTCTACATAACAAAGTAATGATCACTCTTTACTGTTTTGTCCCCAGGAAAACCATATTTTAAAAATGGCGACGGAAACAAGGAAATTACTATTAGCGGTAACGACAGCATAGACCTAAGTTGTAATGCCTTCGGATACCCCAAACCGGACGTCACGTGGTTGAAAGACGACGAGGTCATTCAACCAGATTCCAAGCGAGCCACGATTGAAGAGAAAGCGAACGGTTCCCGACTTCTCATCACCAAGGTGACAAAGAATGACACAGGTGCTTATGTCTGTAACATTGAGAACCCGCTAGGACGGAAGCAACGGTCTTTCAAGGTTACCGTCAATGCATATGACATCACCACTAACTGTGCTGTGTACTTGTGTTCCGGTCTGAGTCAAGTGCTGCTGCTCGCCAGTGTGTTGTTCTTGACTTTGTAAACTGGGGATGCTTGCTGTGTCATGTACGATCTTGCAGTGGCTCGGCGTGCAGGTGCTGAGGCGGGAGATGAGGACTGGTGCTCAGTGGCAGATTCGTTTGGAAATCGGGTATACATGACCGAAGGAATTAAATATCATAAATGAATGAACAGATCGATTGTAATGTTCATTAATAGTTCCAACCGATATGATATGGTTAGACAGTTCAGACGAAAACGATTTTCGAAAAATTAGCATACTTGATGTTTTCTAATTACTCTGATATTTATAAACGTATATACATGTACACCCAATGCGTGTAGATCAGTTGGCTCTGTTGAAGTAATTTATGTATTCAATCACTATTGGGGTAATGATGCAACACTAATCAACTTTTGATAAGGTTCTGAGTGTGAAGATGGGAATGAATGGGCCTGATTCTTTGATATGTTATCATGTCATGCGAATAGTTTTCGACATTGCCAAGGAACGGAGCATTTTCAGCTTCATTCCAATGTAAAACAACAAAACATAAGTTCATCCTCGGAATCTAGGCACAGTGGAAGGCAGGGTCCATCATTTTTGTGAGGGGCGTCGGGAGTGTGGGGTCAGACTAAGAGACGCCAGTCTCGAAGCGAACCAGAAGATGAGGCAGGTTGGTCCCACATGCGTGTGAAACAGTTGGGTGCTTCCCACCAGGCTGTGTTTTATCCCAGTATCCCCCTCAATAGTTGTGTAATACATGTCCTGATTGTTTCATCAGTGTTACATCGTGAGTAGCCAATTTCTAAACGGATACAGCCAGCTCCTTCAGTGTAGGTACAGCCAACTACTTGAATGTATGGAAAGCGGAAGTGACACCAAGTGTATTCTGGGAGCTACACGTGTCTTTACAATGGCCTCTGTCTTAAGCTCCACTCCCTGCACTCCGTGCTTGTAGAAACAGAGCAAAGTCAGGAGAACGCTTTAAGATGTCCCTCCATACTTAGTATAGTATCTCAGCAGTCGTGTTCCACAAGACATCAAACTGGTTCATTTTGGAGATCATCATCAGAAATCACACCACGACTAGTTTCTATATATTGAAACCAAGTCTAAACCAGTGCTATGTATCGCCTATATAATATCTATAAATTCAAGTTTGTAACTAGCATTGCATGTATTTAGCCGCAAACATTACCGCTTCCGTTATGATTTGGATCATTATAAACATGTGCTAAAACGATACAAGACTTGAGGTCTTGTAAAAAAGCGTGTTAGTATTGATCTAATGGTACATTACGACCCTGTCCCCTATTTGTGACAATCCCGGTTGCATTCCCAGCACTGTATATATTATGCTGGGGAGGAATACCGTAGAGAATTGTTCAAAACAATCACAGAATAGAACCACGAATCTACCCTTTAGAGTCATCGTGCAAACGTACACTCTTGCTGTCGGGTATTCATGTGCAGGGTGTGGCGTCTCGGGGAGCCCCTGGGTTCCCTGCCTACCCGTAATAACTGCTTCATGTTGATACAGATACTTTTTGTAAGCATATTGGATATTTTGAGCATCGTATATTTGGAGGCTATAAGAGTTTATAGGGAAACAGGTGTCTCACTTAGTTTAGTTTACGACATCATTGACGCCTGTTTACTCCGCAGCTGACACTAATCTTGAATATGTCATCTCGAAATTGTAGACTTAAATGATATTTAATGTACTTCTTATTAGTTTTGAAAATAATTCTACTCTTTGATGTACACACAAAGGGGCACAGGTGGCCCAGTCGTCTAAGGCGCCGCAATTTGTTGTACAGAGTTGCGTCCCTTGGGCACGCCAGAAACGCCAGAGATACTGTTCAAATCTCGAGTTAAACCCGACCCACTCATTCCTTCATTTAAGAACTATGAATATAGTGAATGCATTAAAAGTCCTAATCCGGCATTTGAACACTTATTCTGATAACACAGTATCTGGAATATTGAAGGCAATGTGCTGGAAAGAGACAGATCCACAATATCTGAGTTGGGCTGCTTGTCGAATAACCCATGTCTGCTATATGGCAACGTACGCATGGTAAATATCCATGGTATCATACAGTTTTTGTGATGTGAAATACCAAAGAGTGTTACATGTACATGCACATACGATGTTCTCACTACCAAAAGAAACGCGAATCCCATACATGTTAGTTCATATGTAAAGAACCACTCCTATTCAAGGGGCGGTCGGGTAGCCTTGTGGTTAAAGCGTTCGCTCGTCACGCCGAAGACCCGGGTTCGATTCCCGACATGGGTACAATGTGTGAAGCCCATTTCTGGTGTCCCCCACAGTGATATTGCTGGAATATTGCTTAAAGCGGCGTAAAACCGCACTCACTCACTCACTCACTCCTATTCAAGATACATTAGATCAGACAAACAAACATACTGGTATGTTTTGTCAATCGATGCTCTTGAACGCAGCACACGTCATAGATCAATTACTCGAGATGCACCATTTGTCTCGTGCAGAATTAGCGTGTAAATCACGTGCAGCGTTTGTGATAATAAAAAAAGACACTTGTGGTGACACTTGACTGCTTGTTAGTTTTGTTATTAATGGGTACACATTGGAAACATCTCTCCTTAACTTGCATATTTCTCCATATGTTTCTGTGGTTCGCGTTTCTTTTTGTAGTGAGGTTCGCGTTTCTGATGGTAGTGAGTATGTGATTGGCGTACGTTTACAAGTCTTGGACTTGCGTATGTCATGCCACAATGTCCCTGTTTATATTGGCCATGGTCTGTGTACTGTTATAAATGCATTGTGTGATGTATATACCGTTATCATTATGTTCCCAGCTCTGTTTGAAATATGTCTATGTTTTATAATTCACGCTAAGTAAGTAATCAGTAAATTTGCATTGTATGTGATTACTGGTCGACGCCGATCATGAAGTAGTCATCTAATATGAGCTCTGTAACTTACATGTATAACAAGGGTTTTCATGTGTTGCGCGACACAGTTAACGAGCCAGTGTTTGCCTCATTTAACCATTCATAAGCTTCGTTGGTGTAGTTTGTTTTTAAATTGCTTATGGTGTCCCAATCTGCCGAAATGCTTGTCGATATGGCGAACTGGGTTTGGTTGATGGACGTTGAAGAATCATCAACTGTGACAAACTTAGATTGAACTAACTTACTTTTCTGGTCCTGAGTACCGCTATCAGATTCGACCTGATTAGTTTTTTGTTTGAGTGATTGTCCCCAGCAACATCCCAGCTACATGACGACGATCTGTAAATAATCGATTCTGGACCAGACAATGCAGTGATTGACCTCATGAGCATCGATCTGCGCAATTTGAATACTGTGACATGCAACAACCAAGTCAGCGAGCCTTAATACCCGATCCAGTTGGTCGCCATCTTTAGCAAGACCGATTCTAGCTGGATGTTCACGAGCCCGGATGCGTGACCAGTTAACACCATGCCCGTGGGTTTCACAAAAGTAGTGAAAGTCTAACGGCGTCACTTTGTATTTCCTTCCCCTTTTAAGCTGACACGCCGTGAACTATTCGAAAAATACTACTCGAAAGAAGTTAAGGACCACCGATTCTTTCATATTGCTATAATTAGGCTGTCATGACATAAAGAATCAGATGGACCTTAACTTCTTTTGAGTAGCATACAACTGGGCATTTAACCCAACTCACACCAAATAGTGATGTAGGTACAAATAATACTCAAGGTATCCTGTGAATACTACAGTATTGTGATTATATCAACCATTGATACATGCTAAGGAAAGAATAGCACAGCTCGTTTTCTACTCGAAATCCAGCCGCGTAATTCGCTGGAGGTTAAGTGATGTCATTGCACTAGATCCTGAACTAACGCACTTTTGTACGGAACATAGATCACTAAATATGGAGGTCTTAAATATGTATCTGTGGAATTGGAATCTTTTCTATTCTGCATCAGTGCAGAATATCGGTTTTATTGTCAGTGCTATTGAAAATATAGGGCATTACTCTGTGAACGAGTGTCATGAAATGTAACGCACATACCATGTCTTTACCACACGTATATACACTGAGGGAGAAAGAAAACACGGAATTCCTATACTATCCATCATGTCATTAGATATGTGTAAATGTATCATGTTCCCCCATATAGTTCAATCAGTATACTGAAGATATGTCCAAGCTCTGGTTTGTTGATGGCGATCGATGCATCCGTCATGTGTTGTGACACACACACACACACACGCTGTACATCGCTTTCATAATGCAGTAAAGATAATCGACCGTTGTGGCTTGTCCGTCAGTGTGTTTAATCTGATTATTTCAAAGACTCTATAGTATGTTTGGTAAAAACCAGAAGGTTACCTGTGAAACAGAGTACGGTGTGAGGTATGTCAGTGTCCTTGTGTAACATGAGAAGAACGAAATAATACTGTTGCTGAACGTGTACTCACGCGAAGGTAAATGGAGAAGGGAGATTTTTAATGGAAGATTTATTTTTTTTATAAATGAGCATTTTTAGTTTTCATCGCCCACTGTTTACCTTTTTAACTGGTGAGGAAGTTGAGACGAAATAAAAGAATACTTGAAAGCAATGTGATACGCAGTGGAAGTCTTAAAAATAACTCAACAAAACTTAAGGTTAATGTCTGTTGAAACTCAAATTTACACCATGTCTAAATTAACCCACGATTTCAGAAACAAATTCTAAAATCACTACTTACCACGATTTGACAACGTTTTAGTCCTTTTTTGACAATGTTTTAGTCCTTATTTGACAAGGTTTTATTCCTTATTTGACTAGGTTTTAGTCGAAATTTAAAACTATGCCCGGACAAAGAAGGCATCAGTTTAGATGACTATTATGTTGATGCTACGTTTAGGATGTAGGCAGAACGTAGACAATAGCCCATGCAGTGTCAGGTGATCATTTAGTGTTTGGTTAAAGAATGCCCTCCCGCCTGTACAGGTCAACTGAACTGGGTGATGTCATGGGGTTTGCCGAAAGTAAGTACCGGAAGTTCGCGTGAACGTCTACCGTGAGAGGTCAACGGTGGTGCAATGGCGATTTGCTTGTATGTAACTGTCGAATGTTTATATGTTTTAGAAAATAAATATCCGTGTTTAACTTTCGCAATGTTTTCTTTTCCGGTGGTTATTCACACGTGGGGAGTGTGGCTATGATCTGCATCCAACGTTTGTCTGTACCTGGATGCCGTGATATACATAGCATTACAGGTTCCTGTCAACACCCGACTGTGATATATATACAGGTTCCTGTCAACACCTGACTGTGATATATATCCAGGTTCCTGTTCAACACCCAACTGTGATATATATACAGGTTCCTGTTAACATCCGTCTGTGATATATATACAGGTTCCTGTTCATCACCCAACTGTGATATATATACAGGTTCCTGTTCATCACCCAACTGTGATATATATACAGGTTCCTGTCAACACCTGACTGTGATATATATCCAGGTTCCTGTTCAACACCCAACTGTGATATATATACAGGTTCCTGTTCATCACCCAACTGTGATATATATACAGGTTCCTGTTCATCACCCAACTGTGATATATATACGGGTTCCTGTCAACACCCGACTGTGATATATATAAAGGTTCCTGTCACACATAGGCATATAGCTAATTTAGTATATTTACATAGCACATCGTAGCGTGTAGGTCCTGAATGATACCTATATCGCACATTGGCATGCAGGTCATTATTACTATTGACATATCACATCGTAGCGTGTAGGTCCTGAATGATATTTATATCACACATTGACATGCAGGTCATTATTACTATTTACATCGCACACCACAGTCATATGTTTATGGCGCGCCAAAGGTACACAACTCTGCACAGCAAATTGCGCCTTAAACGGCTTGGCCACCGCTACCCTAACCTCTGTTGGACAATGGGACTCTAAATGAGACATACATGCATTGTCAATTCCTGAAAATATTTTACGTACGCTTCTGTGACTATTGGACATGTTATACAGTCGACGCTTATATATAATTATGTTTCTACAGCTATTTATAGAATGATTACTATTTTTGGTATCCTTCATAGTTGGAAATTAATCTGAAAGTGTGAAGATATCTAAACTGTGAATATTTACTGGCGGGAGAAAACGGCTTCATATAAATTGTCGTAAATGTTATATTATTGAAACTAACAACCTAATATTTGGTCATTCGTCTGATCAATGTTTTATCACAACAAATTCATTGACAAACATAAACCTGGTAACAGGAGACAGAGCGACCCGCCCTAAAACAGGGGTGGTGGAGGTGAGGTGAAATTGGTGTTTAACGTCGCGTCCAAGATTATTGCGACATGCATGCACGTGTTTGTGTGTCTGCTTTTACTGGTCCGGACTGATGCCGATTTATAGTGCTAGCCCACTGAGATACCATGCCGCAGTTTTAACATGAATACCCCACTCAGACACAGTATACTGACTCCGAGCCGACCAGTCCTTGTTTTAGCCCCTTAATGCCGAGCGCCAGACAGGGTAACAACAAGTGCCATCTCTAAACGTCTTTTGGTATGACGCGGCCGGGGATCGAACCCCAGACCTTCCGCTCTCCGGGCGGACGCTCTACCACTAGACCACGGAGGCGGTCCAGGGGTGGTGGAACTAACCATGTCGATATCGGGTGTCGTCACCATTTTCGTTGATACAGTCGAGGCAGCGGCGCCGCACTGAGTACATCAGAAGATTGAAAACAATCTTGAGGATGTTGTTCCAAATGTCAACCAAATATTGGCCCAACTGAGCTGGTGTTACCGGCTGGTTCTTATCCTGTCGTAGGCGTCGTTTCTCTCATCCCGGACATGTACTTTTGGGGAGAGGCCTGGAGAAACAGCCGACCATGGCTGTACAGCAATGTTGTGCTGCCTCAAAAAGTATGGCAGAACACGTGCAGCATGTGAGCGGGCATTATCCTGCTGCAGCTCGACGTTACGTCCCAGCATTACACAAAGGGTAGAGCATAATCTCGAACGATGTCGTCCCGGTAGTGTACGCCATTCAAATTGTCATTAACATGAGTGTTCTCCCATGAGTTGTGATCCCACCCTATACCATTAGACTTCCAGTGACTTCCACCCCAACGTTGGACACCTATAGACCCCTTGCGCGACCACCAGAGCTGTCCAGAGGAAACCTTAACTCATCTGTGAACAGTAAACTGTGCCAGGCTTGTCTTCTGGAACTCAGATGCTGTCTGCGCCAAGCTAGGCGTGGTTTACGGTGACGTGGAAGCAAAATCGGGCGTATCGCTGGCATTCGTCACCACTCGCCCCTTTCCGTAACCTGCAGTTGTCCCGGAATAACACGAGTTGATTACGAATGTATCGCTGGACGTCGGGAACAGATATTGTACTCCGGGTGCGTTCGGTTGTGTCACTCATTGGTATCAAACCAGAAATAGTCCTATCCGTTGATGTTGTAGTTTGGTATAGATGCCGTAGATGCACCGACCGAACAAGTCATGAGTCATCCCCTGCTGTTGGTAACGTCTCCAAAGAGATAGTATTGTGTATCGATAAACATTAAACTGTCTGGCATCTTGGTTTTGCGCCATTCCCGCTTGCAGTATACCTAGGGCTCGTGGACGTTGATTTTCAGAAACCCGTGTCAATGCGTAAGCGTTATTTACGGTGTTTTTGTGTTTAGTTGTTTGTTTATTTGTTGCTTAACGCCGCACTCAGCAATATTCCAGCTACATGGCGGTGATGTGTAAATAATCGAGTCTGAACCAGACAATCCAGTGATTGACATAATGAGCATAGATCTGCGCAATTTAGGATACGATGACATGCATCAACCATGTCAGCAAGCACTCGATCACGTTAGTCGCCTCTTACGACAAGCATAGTCGCCATTTACGACAAGCATGGGTTGCTGACGACCTAGTCTCACCCGGATTTCCATTAGTAGGTGTGTTTTATGAGCACTTGATAGCTAAGCATTGATTGTGTGCTGTTCATATTAAAAAAATATGTATGAGCATAATGCTCCCAACAAACACGCAAACATTAACATGCACGCGTTTACTCGTGAAGACCCGGGTTAGAATAGGTCTTATGAGTAAACCATGCTTGTCGTCAGAGGCGTCTAACGGGATCGGGTGGTCAGACTCGCCGACTTGGTTAATACATGAGATCGTACCCTAACACCGTGGATCCATGCTCAAGATGTCGATCACTGGATTGTCTGGTCCAGACTCGATGTTTTACGAACCGCCGTTACATAGTTGCAATATTGCTGAGTGCGGCGTTAAAAAACAAACAGACATCGTTTTGGCAACGTTGTCCTGTTTTATTTTGTTTGCCTTTTCAAGAGAGTATACCTTGTCTTCGTCAATGTTGTTTCAAATGTCTCTCCTCGATGCATTTTCATTGCATCTGTTGAAGCTATTAGGTGCTATCAAGGTTATGTGTTTCCAAGGCATAGGGTGGACCTCAAATGAAAGTAAGGTTCGTTTCCGAACGGTCACAACCGGCACAACATCAAGCAGGTGAGTGCTGATCTGGGGCCTTATGCTGTTGAGGAATTTAACATTTTAAGTTTTTGCGCTTCCTTGGCATACATTTTACTGAGCCTAGGATTTATTTCCAGTGTTAGACATATAAACAATACGATATATCTGTAATACTATTCTTAGGAAAACACTATGTATTGTTTTAGCGGAAGTACTCTACTCAACGCGAATAAGCGGTGCTATTTGGTGTGTGATTGGATTAATGTAAGGTTGGATTACGGTAAGGATTCTCCTGTAAACCTGACACAAGACATTTTCTTTATATATAAATCCACTGATGCTTGAGAGGAGGGGTGGGGGGTGTCGCATTCATATTGAGTCGCATTTTTGGCTAGGCGCCAGCGGTCGCATTCTTTTGGCGATTCATCAAGTTCACGATTTACAGTATATAAGTAAAATCAATTATTTTATACCTTACCATTATGAAAGCTAGGCTTCCGTTTACACATAATTAGGTTTTCAAGACATTTACATCTAAAAACTTACTGCATTACTTTGGTGCATTTGTACAAATATCAAGCCTTTGTGCCGCGTGTGCGCAGGTCAAACTAGGAAAGTGATTATTACTATTGAAGCAATTTAATCAATTCACTTCACCTCCATTTTCCGCCGTAGCCCTCTTTTATGAAGGTTGGGTGTAGTGGCTGTTTCGATTTTATACTGATCTTTACGTTTGTTACATCATAATTATATTGTTACGTCTTTGTGGCTAGGTGTTGATGCTCTGCGCTCCAATGTTCTCTCCCAGATGAGGACAATGCCCATGCCTGTTTATGAACTCAAATGAATATGAACATACCCAAAGCCACATATGACTTTAATTAACTAAAACCTACGTACAGAAGACTAAACGGACTAAGAAAGTATGGACATGATACTGCATGTCTCACTCTGATGATTACTGTGTCCTGTGAAATTACGACCCCAAAGTTTCTTGAGAAAATACCAACTGATGTGATGCATGTAATATCGCCAGAGATAGCTGTACAAAAGACATTACCATTGAATAGCCATTTCCTGCTTGTTTCATTCTGTAGCCACCAGACCGCCTCCGTGGTCTAGTGGTAGAGCGTCCGCCCGGAGAGCGGAAGGTCTGGGGTTCGATACCAAAAGACGTTAAAAGATGGTTAAAAGACGCTAAAACAAGGACTGGTCGGCTTGGAGTCAGTATACTGTGTTTGAGTGGGGTATTCATGTTAAACTGCGGCATAGTATCTCAGTGAGCTAGCACTATAAATCGGCATCAGTCCGGACTAGTACAAGCAGCCACACAAACACACACACGTACATGCACGTCGCTATATAAGTGCAATAATCTTGGACGCGACTTAAAACCCATTTCATCTCACCTCACCTGTAGCCACCATCAAACATGGGTGTATCGTTTCTTTTGTCCGTCAGTTTATACCCAATACCACGTAGAACCTTTCTATAAATAAATATATATCTGCAGATGAAGATGTTAAATGTCACATGCCATAAATACTGAAAATATCCAATGTCAGGTATAACCATTTTTATTGATTAAACGTGAACGAAAAGCACTTTCCGGAACTGACATA